GAAAGACAGATGTAATTTGAGTGCTCAATAAATCAGACTTGCCTGCAGGTATTTAAAATAAATGAGTTGGGTTCATTTTCCAAAGACATCTGTCTACTGCCATTTTAGACAACCTACATGGTCTCTGGTGGCTTCTTCAGAAGGTCACAGCCCTTCCAAATCTCCAGTGTCACTGCCTGCTGGCCCTATGCAGGTTCCTCTGACAACCTAGCCTGTCTACAATGACACTGGGTGCTATATTTAGTCAACTGAATCTCAACAAATAATTACAAAAAAAGGCTTGTAAGCAATGCTAAAGATAGATACACAATGTTTGTAAGAATAAGTGTCTTAGTTCCCCTGGGGCAATGAGTTCACAGCGGAGGTGCACTGCAGCATGTGTCTCCAAAGGAAGTCACTGAGTCAAAATGGCCAAGTGTAGAGAAAGATAATAATAAACTGAGATACTGTGTTATTTACGGTTGGGAGGAGATCATGATTCAGGCAGCTCATCCTCAACTCATGTTGATCAACTGTTCCTAGCACTTATGAAAATATTCTGTAGCCAGTTTTATGCTGCGATGAGATGTTGAATGGCTTAAAATACATTCTGAACTGCCAGAAACAAATGTTCAGGATGGCCCCACCACAAAACTTCACTCTGAGTCTACACAAGCTACTGCTTGTAGCTTGTAGCAGAAGAACTACTTCAGAAATGGTTTGCTAAATGTGGCAAATACATCTGTTGCTGATGGGTTTAGTGAATGTTCTTGAAGGTGGATAACTGAAAATGATACAGTCTGATGCAAAGAAGCCAAGAAACATACACTTCTATTCTCCTTCCAACCATCGCATAGTCTTTATTAAGCAGAATATTAAATTAGATCTGAACAGCATTTGTCTCCTAAAATTCAATTTTTCTGAGCATACGGCAGATAAAGTCCATTCCATCTTCTGTCTGACTTTTAGCTGCTTGCTAATGCAGTACCTATTGCGAACTGCATATAGTAGGAAAAAAATTATGAGATACTCGTCTGGATTCAGAGTAAGGCATTCAAAATAAATTTGAGGAAAATGACCTTAATTCAGCAAAGTGCTTCAGCTTTAAGCATGCATATAGCCAATGAATCACATGCTTAAAGTAAGACTCATGTATGTGCTTCTTGCTAAATCAGGCATAAATTATGTCTCCATATCAAACGGCAGCAAAAGCCCAGTAAAAAGACAAAACAAAAAAACACAAAGAAAAGATAACCATGAAAGCTTTGGTTCAGAAGCAATGCTTTCGCAGATGTAATACAGTCCACATAAGGTCTGTTTTGTTTTTACTCAGTCACTTTATTATTTATTGCTCAGTATCAAAAGGAATCAAACTGACATTGATTAAAGGCCATTGTGAGTTGTAGCTAATATTAATATAATTCTT